GGAACTGTCAGTCCCATTGTTTTCTCCTCCAGATTGCTCATCCAGCCTATCTTATATAGACATCTTAAAGGATATAATTCACCCTCTGAGTCATGATGTAATTAGATTATATTTTATTAGACATTCTTTACAAATTTAAAATACTGCTATTTTTACATGCACAGAGGAAAATCAGTTTGGGTAATTATATTTAGGCATTAATTAAAATTAATCACAAAATAGGGACACTTAATTGTGTCATTTATCAACATACTTGATATGTATATCTAAAGTGCATTATGTTACAAAAAATATAGAAATTCAGCAGCACCAAGATACATTTACAAAATAAATACATCAGTTGACAAAATAAATTATGGTAAATGTGATAATAATAATTGGATTAGCCTTGGCAAAAAAAAAAAAGTTATTCACAATGACCAATGTGCAGCTTCATAGAGCAATGTGGGAGACAGTTGTATTCCAATGCATTTACAGTATTTACAGACAATAAATATTTCTAATACTTTCCATATGTTCACTATTACAAAATCCTGCAGTATGTTCTCTGAAGGCCTCTGCCGAAAATTTCAGTGCCTCCTGCAAAGAGAAGGAAAGGGGAAAAAGAGCAGAAAATTGGTTAATTCTCCTTACAAATGATGAGACATAAATTACAGGCTATCAATTAATCCAGAATCACAATGCAAAAGAGATTCAAGGGTCTTCTTGCAAATATTTCCCACAAAGATGCCTGGGGGATCCAAGTGTCCCACCAGGATCTATCTCTGTTACAGCCAGGGTTGTGGACCAGGGTCAGTACCCTTGAGGTGCAAAGCAAAGGTGTCTGTTTTCTAATGACGCTTCTGTCAGCAACAGAAGACCTTGCGAGGATTTTCAAAGAGCTGCCAGCTGGAACAGGGACACATTTAAGAATTCAGATGCAGAGCTCAGGTGAGAAATCCATCGTCAAATCCACTTTCATGCTCCAGTATCATGTGACTAAGATGGCTTACATCTTAAGATGCTGTGAACAGCAAGGCCAGCCATATGAAACCAGAGAAAATGAGGCTTGATACTCCTGAAAAAGAGTTACTGTATTGGAAACCCACAGGGCCACTAGCTGCCTGTCATAAAGGGCCACTGTGAGTTAGAATTGACTAAATGGCAGTGAGTTTGTTTGTTTTTTTCCCCAAGATAATGGAGTGTGGTGAGTCTAGTAAAAGTCTAGGTTAAATGTTAGGAGGACGTACAGTGAAACAGCATGTTTGGAATGATAACTATTGTGTATTTAAAAAAAGGAAAACAAAAACCACTGTCTTCATGTCTGATTCATGGCACCCCCCGGGCAAAAGAGAATCAGTGTGCATCCGAGTGCAACTGTGCTCCACGGCGTTTCCAGTGGCTGTCTTTCAGAAGTAGACTGGCAAACTTGTGTTCTGAGCTGCCTCAGGGTGATCTTGAACCTCCAGTCTTTCAGCTAGGAGTCAAGCACTTTGAACGGCTTGCCCCTGGGGACTTCATCCTAGCTTTAGCTGCCCTTAACCCTAATGTGTGAGCTATGATTGGATTTTAGTTTGGGAAGCTGAAGCTAAGTTAGAATTATTTCTCTCGTACTCTGCTGCCATTTGGGTGGCTATAACTTTGGATAGTATGTTAAACTAGAGAAGAAATAAGAATACAATGATTTAAAAAACAAAACATAGCTAGAACCCAGATTGCTGTGTTTGTTTTCACTACTCAGAATAAGGTGCCCCAAGAGGTGGAGGGCTTTCTGAGTTTTCTGTGTGCTGTGAAGGCAGCGTCTTAAGATGGGTCAGCAGACTTTCCTCTGCGTTGTGTTCAGCGCTGTCTATTTCCGTCGTGGCACACTGGTTCCTAAGGAAATGACTATACTATGGAATTGATTGGCTTGGTCCCTGGAGTAAGAGTTGTGGACAGAGTGTGGTCTGCATGTGTGAGATCTGAAAAAGAGCCACTTCATGACATTTAGGAGTTTTGTGTGTAGCATGAAGAAATAAAAGCAAGTTGAGTGATTAGAGTCCTGTCTTACAGTTGTAAGAGATTGATCAATGCACCGATGGTTTGGGTTAGGTTCTTAATGACAAGTTTAAGGTTGTCATTTCAAGTGGCAGGTGAATTCAGCTGCAGTTAGGTATAAAACCAAAGAGGTGACAAGCACCAGTAACGTTTGTGCTGCACCAACTTGCCATTTTTTGATACTAAGAAGTAGGTAGTGTCTGGGTTTATGAATAAGACAACGGGGTCAAAAATGAACAGTATTTCACACCATTATGACCTCAGAAAGAAAGAAGGAAAGAAAGAAAAAAGGAGTACATTAAAGAATGCATCTTTTAATTAGATTTCACCTTGCTCAACCTGATGGCCTTGTTCTTGATTTCTTATCAAAGTCACCTCTTAGAAGAGCAGAGTTAAATATATAACACCATCCGAAAAGGTGGCCAGTGGGTCACAAGTTAGGCTGCTAACTGCAAGGAGAGCAGTAGAAACCCACCAGCTGCTCCGTAAAGATTCACAGCCTGGAAAGCTAATGGGGCAGTTCTACTTTGTCCTACAGGGTTGCTATGAGTCTGAACTCAATGGCCGTGAGCTTGAGTTTTATGGGTTTTCTTAAAAAGTGTGTGTGTATGTTTCTGATATATGCATTTATGTGCATGATATTTTAAAACCCTAGATGAAATAGCTTTTTAAATTAATTATCAATCCTTAAATCAATATTTACCACAGCAAAATTTGTAACTTGAATGAAATGAGTCCCACTGCATCTGGACATCTCATGTGCAACATCAACAAATCCAAAAAGTAAACTTGAAACTTTGAACTTAGATACTCCCCACTAAACTGTACACGTGAGGGGAGACAGGCCGTTCTAACTCAGCAGTGACTCAAAAAGTGTGCCATCTATTAGAATACAGCACAGGCTCCCATCGCGCCAATTCTCTCCCATAATCTTGTAATAACATCAAGGGTCTAAAGAGAACACATCAATGAAAGACTGCTCTTTTAGAAAACTTGTAAATCATTATTCTGGAAAGCTTTTATTTGAATTACAAAATGTTCGGAGGCCCATAGGTTCTCATCAGCACACCACTAAATCTCCCCCCTCTCCCCTGCACCTCTCTGGTGGGTTGGATTGGGAGAGTGCCAACATCTGGCTGCCAAACAATCAGTGCTTTCCATGAACGTCCCTCACACCGAAGAACAGAAAGGAGAAGGAGAAACATTTTTTTTTTTTTTTACTCAGGCTTAGGTCTGGATTTGATTAGGCCGCTGCTTAATTTCCACTAGACCTACTTTAAATTGGAGGCACCTTTGGGCTTAAGAACTGACGAGTGCTTATTCCATTAATTCTCCAGACACTTTTAGAAAATCACAAATTTTACATGAATAAAATCCTTAGGGAAGCATTTATACTTCTGTACCTCATTACAATAATTACTTCTGTAACTTATAGGGGCTTCAACAAGTCTGTGGAAGAAAGTTCATTGTCTTGTGATTCTGTTTTCTCAAACTTTTTGAAGCCTCCGTGCGTGCGTGCGTGTGTGTGTGTGTGTGTGTGTGTGTGTAAAGAATACAAACAGATTTTACCATAAAGGGTCTTTGCATTAGTTAAAGATATGTACTGTTAGGATTGCATCTTTAAAAAAATACACCAAAGATATACAGTGAGTCAAAATGTATAGGGTTTGCTACCGGTAACAACAGATCCATTAAATATCTGCAGGAGATAGGCCTTTCACTGTGCTATAAACATTTCTCTAGTGCCACTACACATTGACTACTGAAGCTGTGCCTCAATTATATATCTGTCATAATTGCCTTTTTACATTGCTACTTAGTAATGAGTTTTGTCAACGTAACTCAAACAGAGATGTGATGGCAAATAAGTTCAAACTCTCCTTGGAAACATCACTCTGTAATCCTATGTCTACCAGTCAGTAGAAAGGCCTGGAGAAGTCACAGGGGACTCTTTAAATAATGACATCATTGGTTGCATATGATGCGCTCTTGTGTTGTTTTCCTCTTTCAAACCCCATAGAAGTGCTGTACTGAAAAGTAAACACAAAACACCTGTCAGTAGGAATGTATAACGAAATCGTGCCATGAAAGCACTGGTTTAAGCAGTAGGAATTGGGAAAATATATTCTAGTTCTAAGGATTGATTATGTCCTTGCTCAGGTCCTTCACAGTGGAGTCCCTTGGTTTCCTATAAAATGCATTTAGTACATGACCCTTCCCCCCTTTTTGCCTCACAGGAACATACATACAGCAGGTACTATCACAACTAGGTCTAAAAAGCACTGAAACAAATGGCCATGTATTAGATGTTTCCTATCTAACTGATTTAACACATGTGATCTCATTTAATTTTCACTCAACCTAATGAAGTTGATAAAATGACTGTCTTCATTTTGCCAAGGAGGAAAGTGAGTCTTAGAAAGACCAACTCAAGGTTGTGACCTGTAATCCCTTTAGACCTAAGACTTGAACCTTAGCTGTCTAACTCCATAGCCTATGAATGTGTTCACCACTTGTTCTCTGGGCTGAGGATAAACAAGCCCTATAAACATGAGGCTGGATGATTCCTACTGCTGTGTTACCCTAGAAAAAGCATTTCAACTTCCTGGTGAACAATTCCGTGTACGAGAACAACTTATATGCCTGCTAAGCCAATTCTTAAAAAAAAAAAAAAATTTAATGAACTAGCAGAAACCAGTGTTAAATCTGGAAGTGGGAATGGCGCAGAAATATTTATGCTAAGATCTTGTTCTGTAGTCTATGTAGATGCTATTCAAGCTGAAGTTCTCTCTTCAAGCTGAAAACCATTAAGAGATAAAAGACCACGAAGAAAGTTGGGGAAGATGTGAGAATAAAGGAATGGTGAAGACGATTAGTAGCTTCTGAGACTGAAGTACACAATTCAATGACTTGGTAGCGTGGAAATGACTTTTGGTGTTTGGGTACGGAAAGATGGGGTAAGAGACGTGAGTTATCTTTGTGGGAGGGGTGGAGGAGTGTCACTGCTTCTCCAACCCAAAGCCAAACTCAGTCCCATCAAGCCACTGCTGACTCATAGTGACAGCCCACCCCTCCCCCACTGTGGGTTTCCGAGACCGTAACTGTCCAGGGGAATAAAATGCCCAGTCTTTCTCCCAAGGAACTGTTGGTGGTTTTGAACTGCCAACCGTGAGGATTGCAGCCCAACAGGTAACCATGACACCACCAGAGCTCCTAGGCAGGTAATATTCTGGGTGATCTAGGTTTGGTAAGCTTTTACATTATGGAGCAATTGATAGAGATACTAAAGGGGAGAAAGTTCTAGATGGACCACAGCAGGGTAGTGGGAAGGATCCACAACCCAGCTGAGAACACTCAGGAGAGGCTGTGGGCTCTGGGCAAGAGAAGCCTTACCGTAAATTGTGCTCCGGCGAAGTCGCGGAGATGTCAGGCAGCTGGTCCCCTTCCAGCCCACTCCCAGCCACTCGAGAGTCCAACCAGGCAGAGCGCGTCCGTCGTTTTTTCTTCTCCTGTTCCTTGCGTTTCCCAGGCTTGCCTTTCTTTTTCTTCCCCGGGGTCTTCTGTGGCTGCTCTTTGTATGGCTCCACCTTGTTGGTTTCCTGAGTTAGGTATCTGCCCTCATCATCAGACCCAAATCGCACAGGGTGGTTCTTTGTGTTGGGAGCAGGCTTGGAGTTTGGGGAAACCTCCGAGGTAGCTCTGATTTCGGCTGTGTGGATTTCTGCAATCAGGTGGTGCAGAAAGTAGCGTCGCCGTAGATCTTGAATGGACTTCCCCTTGTCATGGAGAAGCTGATGTTCAGACACAGCTCTTTTGCTGGAGGAAACAATATCAGGAGGGGCAAGAAAACAAATTCAAGTTGTTGGCAGAGACAAGGGAGATGCACGAGTAAATTCCTGTCATGTTGGAGTTGGCCCAGTGGAAGTAGGAGCTGCAGCAGTGGCCAGCTCGCCCAGGTGGGGAAGGGTGAGAGGAGGTCTGGGACCGTGGCAAGAACAGGCAGCTTCCCGGACCGTAGGTGCTCATCTCTGGAGTAGGAAGGAGTTGGACTAGGGCTCCCTATACTCCCTTCCAATTCTAAAGTGTTGAGGGGTCAATGATGCGATCAGACGTGGGCAGAAGTCACTGTGCCTTTCTTCACATTTCCCAAAATTCTGCTAAGGAAATCCACTCAGAAGTCCAACCTCAGGAAACGCACGCACGCACGCACGCACGCTCCCCATTCAGGAACAATAATGAATCTTGAAGAGCAGCAAGCTGCGAGAGTAAAGCAAACGAAGGCTGAAGGGTGAAGTGAGCAGTAGGTCTGTCTAGGAACCCCCCTAACAGATGGAATTTTAACATGCTGTCAGGCAACCAGCTCCCGAAAACCTATATTTGAAGTCTGTCAGAGGGGGCAGAAGGGGAGAGAACTCACATTTTCCTGTCAAGTAGCAGATGGTCTCCTGAAAATGGGGTTTCTTTGTTTGTTTAAATGAGATCATTCTATTTCTTCAGTGCTTCAAGTTTTTATTTTATTTTATCTTATTGTTTTGCATTGCAGAGGGTATTATCTTAGTAATTAGTTGAGACATTCTCTTTTTCTATTTGCTCACTTTATCTTAACATATTTCTAGGAGTAAATAAGAAAGGAATCTTCTGTTTAAAAATTACTCTGCTGAAAATATAGTGGAATAGAATGAGCTCATTCTCTACCAATCCTTGTGGATAATACTCTGACTCTTGCTTAAATACCCAGCCAGGTATTCTTTTTATTCTTCCCTGGGTACATCTTATTAAGCAGGTTTAATGCTTATACAAGGACCCCTGGTAGCATAGTTGTTATGTGTAGGACTGCTAACCACAAGGTCAGCAGTTCAAAACCATTAGCTGCTCTGTGGGAGAAAGACGAGGCTTTCTACCCCTGCATAGAGCTACTGTCTCAGAAATTCACAGAGGCAGTTTATCATGCTCTGGAGGGTCACTATGTGTTAGAATCGACTCGATGGCAGTGAGTTTGGGTGAGAAAGCTTATATGTGGTGTAAGCCTCAACTTCACCTCATTTTATTCCACCTCTTACCATTACAGTGGTCCCCCAAACTGGCTTACTTTCAGAAAGAATACAGCCTTCAAAACTCGGAAGGGGAAGTCCCCCAGGGCCAACAGTCAGAATCAACTTGATGGCAATAGGCTTGGGTTTGGGTCAGTCACACAATAAGAAAGTGACAGCCAGAGCTTTCAAAATTAGCTCTTCTGATTCTAAAACCAAGGTTAGCTTTTTCAGTGTTCTTACCTCTTTCTGTTGCTCAAACCAAAGCATCCTACACTGAGGGAACAAGAAGGGAAGGGCACAGAGCCAAAAGGCCCTGGAGTGAACCACAGTAGGGGAATGAGGAATGATTTCTAAACTTCTTTGACGACCAACGTTATTGACCCACACAGCCCATTTTCATCACCGAAATATGGATCTAGGGCTCTTCTCTCTGAGGGATGAGAGACTGTCTAGTTATAGGATGAGCCAAAGAAGGGAGTATGTGATAAAATGATAATCATTTTTCAGGGCCTCACTGCCAGCCTCCCAACCTCCTTCTAGTATTTTAGTGTGGGGAATGACTTGAAGCCATGTAGCTTGTTTTTAAAAAGACATTACTTAATGGAAAGGAATTTACAGGAGCTTGAAGCCTGGTTTAAATGAGCCATGTAGGAGTCTCTGTTCCTTTTGGGGGGTGCCACATGTGACCAGATTAAAGTTCACTTACTTTGTGGCAGTGTTTCATAGTCTAGAAACGTTTAGTCATCTACCAATCTGAGGCTTTGGCACCAGGCATTTCCATCTTCTAATAACGTTTGGTAGGAATAGGACTGATAAAACCACCCATTACATAATATGATTGTTTAATTAGTATCTCTTAAAATGCCATATTACAAAAGAAGTTGTTAACCAGGGATCCTTTATAATTTGGGGCCCTTTTGCTTCTTTCTTGATGTCTGGAAGATCCTCCACCTATGTATATTGCTCCAAATTTCTAAAACAGGGCAGTCTGACTTCACTCGAAAGCCACATTTTTCATGGTTTCTCTGTTCTATTCAAGCCACTGTTGCTCATGCTCATTCTGACTGGCAGGCAGGCCTCTGCCATCTCGGCCAGCCTGTCAACTGTGAGTCACAGTGTCCTCCTCACTTAAGCACTGTGCTTTCCCAGGAAGGTTCTCATGGGAAAAGAAGTAAGTAATCATTCCATCCTTCTGTTTTGTCAAAAGTCTTCAGCAGAGCACAACTTTGTCCGGTTTAAAATAGTCTATCTCCTGCAAGGCTCAAAGCTTTTCTTGTGCCTTTTTGGGAGAGATTGTTAGTATACTAGAAAACACACATTTCCTTAAAAGCTACTCTTATAAAATGCTTTTCAAATTTCAAAGCTCATGCATAGAAAATATTGCAAAGAATGAGTGGCTGAAGGACTAGTGCGTTAGAGGGCAGGAATGTAATGGGTCTATTGTCAGCCACAAAGAGGTCCATGGAGCTCTCTAACGCTTTCGAAATTAAGACAAGAACGAACCGAGGTATCTACATGGCTGGCAGGTACAAACTAGATGAACAGAGGTGGTAGGTAATAAATTCTAATAAAGGAGCATTTAAAGTTAGATAGATAACTCTTGGAGATTGAGTTGCAAATATGGTGTTACTCTCTATGTCCATTAACATTACATAGCAGATAGATCCCATTGGCATTTATTACACCCCTAAACTCTAGCCTGCTTGGTAAAGTAGAAGGTCAGAGACAATGAGAAGACTGTCCAGGAGAGAGACTGACGCAGGGGCTGCAACAATGGCTTTACACAGCAACGGTGTGAGGATGGCGTGTGACTGGCAGTGTTGCATTCTGTTGGAAGTCAGAGCTGACTTGATAGCACATGACAACGACAGCAACAAGCTCTCACAGGGAAGGACAGTGGATTAGGCTTCATGGTCACCTTTGACTACTGTTTGTTTTTTAAGGCAAAAAGTAGGGGAAGTGCTTAACAAAGATACCTCTAAATTCAGGCAAAACATAGCATTAAGGAAAAATGACTTTCAAGGGAATTTTCAAGAAAGATTAGATTTCTAAGAAACTGTCAAGGAACAGGGAATAAACAGAGGAAGGAGAATCCCTCTTCCGGCACAGGAAGAAGCAGTGCTTCTAAGGAAGGATTCTGATTCTGCACTGGAGAAGCAAAGTTCTCTGGGGCATGAAAGACATAGGGTTAGAGGGTAAGAATTCAGATGACTCACCAGCAGGCCTTTCCAACCCAAATGACTGAGTTGAAAGTTATTCAGTGGAACAGACTGAGTGTGGCTCCCAAGCACATCAGTCAATGATACTTTAGGTTTGCTCCACTAGACACAGAGAGCCACCTGTCTAAAGCCGGTCTGGACAGGGACATCCTTAGGCTTCGGTTTTCAACTCACTCATACTCAAACCCTACTAATTAAAGCCTTTTGTGCTAACAAGTTTAAAAGATTCACAACTGACAATTGCTTCCTTTGTTTGGTTTAGGGATTGTTAGTGTTGTAGGAATTTCTTCTCCCATGAAAGGTCTCCCCTAGTTGTTTTTTTTATGTTTGATTTGTACTTCCAGCTGTTTCTCTATTACTTGATGTGAAGGATAATTGGGGAGCAATGTCATTTGATTATATGTTAAAATTTCTTTCAAGAAACTAGCTTGACTTATCATAATAGTAGATTATTTTGTCTGCACACAATTTTTATTGTTACTTGGCAGCAATGCAAAAACAATGACTTGGTGTTTTTTTAAATTCCATGTGGCTGTAAAAAATTGAGGAAACATCTTCATCTACTGATGTTTCCAGCCTCGATGACAAACCAGGGTAATGTGATGATCTATTAGCCATTAACTTTAAGACTGTTTTGTGGTAGTTTTATAACCATCTGCTGAGTGTGAGTGTTTAACTACAATATTATATTTCACCCACAAACAAAACTATAACAGTCTTTGGCTGCTAAGTGGTTTCTGATGTGGATTTTGCAAGGTGCAACACACAAAGAGTTAAAAATAGCCTTGAGGACAACTTGGCCCTATTTTTATGCTCTAACTGTGGATTCAATCACAGTTCATTTTGTTTCTCAAAAGAAAAACAGGTATTTCTTAGACAACGTAAAGACAAGTTGGCTCTGTTCCAGGGCAGTATTTCTTAGCCAAATAAATACAATATTTAAGCGGGTCTTTAAATATTCAGTCTTTAACCTATGGGTCTTAAATAAGTGAATTTAATACAACTCTCAAAATGAACAAAAAGTCTGAAGAAAATGTTCACAAATGCACTCTCCAAACGTTGATTTGAAGAATACAATGCAGCTTTATCTTCAGCACAATGTTCTACACAATTTGCCTTAGGAGATTCAGAATAGATTTTCATTTTGGTGCCAAAGTTCAGACATGTCTAGAGTAATTTCATTTAAGGATTTTCTGTCCTAATAATAATAGACCAAGGGCATATATAAAACAGGTGCCTTTTTTGAGAATTGACAAGGAAGCGCTGTGAACTTGATTGTAAATATTAGCTATTACTACTTTTATTACCAGTATGAAAGTGCTCCTTAATTCCTTCTCCAGAGCCCATCTCATCTCAGTTCTCAAACTTTCCCCTCCCTGAACACTGAGTCTGCAGTTCTAAGGATCACTAAAGGCGGTGTTACACACATTAATGAACTGCTAAGGGCTAACAGACTTTTAAATATAATATTCCTTATTGCTCTAGACCATTTCCCCAACTTTCCAGTCATGCAATAGTTCCCTGGTGAGGGTGGATATTTTCACAGTCAGAATTATCGTCGGAAGAATCACTGAGAATACCAACATACAAGTTTTCAGTCTTCAGTGCAGAGATGGAGCCTTGATTTTAAAACTACTAGCAGTAACTAAGACGGGGTGGGGGGGGGGTGAGAGTGGGAAGGATTCATCCCTTAAACTTCATTTCGAAATCAAGTACTTTAACATCTCTAAATGTGAACTGTATCAGTACTGGAGTTGTACTATTGCCAAAGTGTTCCTACTTTATTATATAATATGCCTTCATTATGTAATGCGGTCCCGTTTTATATGCTTAAAATTATGTCACTCATCATAAACTCAGATGTAAGTTTTGTTGTTGCGTTTCACACACAAACTGCCACCCACATTCAGGATGTACACACAAGCGCACACAGACTTCTGCCTCTGTCTGCATCCTTCAGCTTGCTCTCAGCGAGAGGAATCTAAACCGCTTGGAACCCACCCTTTCCAAACCTCCCCAGGTCCTAAAAAAGTAACCCTTTTCTTCCATCAGGAGCAGAGGCTCTTTGTCTAAGAGAAGATACTGTAAAAAGCTCCCTCTGATGGAAATCAACAAACACAAAAAAGAAACTATCTCCAGGCTCCCTCTCGCCTACAGGTTCTACCAGTTTTCCGGCTGGCTTTGGGGATCCAGCCTCCGCCGCCCGGGGCAGGTAGCCGAGATGGCTAGCTTTCGGAGCATCAGTGACCACTGCGAGCCCTGCGCAGCGCCGCAGCCCGTCCCAGCCCTCGGCGGGCGCCCGGACTACTTACTGCCGGCGGCCGAGCCCCTCCAGGGCGCGTCCCGAGGAAGGCACCGAGTAGCTCAGCAGAAACACCGCGATGCTCCACTGCTGAACCAGCCGCCGCAGCATGGTCCCCCGTCGCACGCAGGACCTGCACCAGAATGGAAGAGAGTCCAAACCGTCAGCCCTGGTGCCTCTCCATCGCTCCGCACACCCTCGCCGCCCCGGGTTCAGCCCTTCGCAAACAGCTGCTCCAACAGCAGGAGCATCTCCCAAATCGCAAAGAACAGGGAAAAGAGAGAAAGAAAAAGGAAAACCTTCTCTGGACACTTTCTCAGCACTTACTGATTTAGGAATCAGCGACTGCCACTCTTGCTGTTTAAAAACCACACGGGCAGGGGGAAAAGGGGGGAGGACCAAAAAGAAGAAAAGACGAAGGGGGGGGGGGCGCGGAAAAACAAGCCAGAGGTGTTTCCTCTGCAATAATAGCGAAAATGAAATGGTTTTATAGCTGCCTCGAGGATAAGTAGTGTGTTTACACGTCTCCCATAGCAATGCCTGGTGGAGCTGGCCCGCAGCTCTGGTGGGTCGGAGGAGCAGGCTGGCCCCCTCCTTAAAAAGAGCAGCTCGCCCCGGCCCCGGAGTCGGCGTCCTGGCGAACCGGCGGTCACTGGCAGCGAGCGAGCCGCACGTATCGAGAGAGATACACGTATATATACACGCGGAGCTGTCTGTCTACCTCCTC